GCAGGATGGCAGGGGAGGTGTGTAGGACACTGTACACCGTCCGCAGCAGCGTGGACCAGGCCTCGTTGTGAAACACAATGATGACGCTGGTGGTGGGCAGTGGGGGGCAGCGCCGAAATTTCTGGTCAACACATCTAGAAGGATGAAAGAATAGATGCAGCTCTCTAGTTTCCTTGGAGTTGGGGGTAGTGACAACTCTGCACACAGATTCCCATAACTGCCCTCTGCTCCTTAGAACCACCAGCCTACATTCTCTGTCGTGGTTGAGAATGGCTGCTCCCTGTTCCAGGCTTACCCTGCATTTGCCACCTACTCTGAGGTTGTAGCTAACCCATTCCAAAACCCATCTCCCCCAGAGCTGGCTTAGTGCCCCAGCTGTGATGCCGAGAGCTCCCTTCTGCTGTCCCCTCTCACTTCTCATCTGCTCTAGGAGTTCCCAGGGCTGACTTGGTTTTCCTCAGTAATATGTGTACTGCATAAAGTGTAACCCAATCCAGAGGTCCCAGAGGGGAAGAAATAAAGGGCAAATTTGACATCAGAGAAAAGTGACTACAATTTCCATACACTTCTCGTTACACCTTACAGTTCTTCCCCAATCCATTTCCTCATTAATTCCCTGTAACCTTATACTACTATCACGATCAATTGCCTGTGATCTATTCTATACCTTCATCTAATCCAGTCACTCTGTGGCACTTGGCCATACTGCCACCCTCTTGACAGGCCATTTTGTTTGGATGGGGATATGTGAATCCTGGATCTCAAGGGATCATGTGGCCTAACACCCTTTCTTATCGATCTGAATGATTTCCCATGGATGCTCCAGAGGAGACTCCCGAACTTCCTCCACTGGCTGCCCTCATGGCCCAATGCCCTTCGCTGCTGAGGAGCTCCTAACAACAAGTGGCTCCACCTTCTAGAACTGTAATGCTTGGTCTATATCTGAGGAAACCCAGGTTCACAATCTTAAAGAATCATGAGTTTGGGGATGGGGATGCCAACTGACAAAAGGCCAAAAAGGGTATAACTCTCGAGTTAGGAAAAACAAGTCTAAATAAAAAAGACACAAAATCTTTGACTTGAGGACAGTGTGAACATAGCTACGGCCACATTAGAGAAAGGTAGGTTACAGCTCAAAGATCTAAGTGTTGGGTCATTGCCCATCTTCAAATAAAGGTTGGAATGAATTCTACAGCTCAAAGATCTAAGTGTTGGGTCATTGCCCAGAATTGAAAGTATAAACATCTTCAAATAAAGGTTGGAATGAATTTATGGTCCTGTAGGCCTTCACTGGAAGAAGTAAATCAGGAGGTGTGGGGATAGTCCTGACCACCAGAGCTACTGTCAGGAAATGTCCCTTTTCTAGAACCTCAGCAGCAGAGTCCCACAGTTTCTGGCGGAGGCCAAGGCCACTGAATCTTTGGCCTGGAATCAGTCCCCTTCAGTCTCCCTCATGCTAGGTCCCAGGCCCTGAGTTCCTTTTTATTTATCCTGTCGCCTTCATAATTGTGTTTCACCCTCACAGGTCTCCTTGGGCCTCTAGCCAGACCATAATACTCTTGAACCCCAATCAGTCAAGAAAGGGAGTGAGGGTTTAGAGGAAATCTTTGCCTATATCTTAAAATCCCCATCAGTTCTTTACCTCGCATTTGGTCCATGGCCATGGCCTTATTAGCCACACCTTTGGCAGAGCCCTGGCCTCACCCCAGGACTTTGGGTGCTACTTACTCCGGGGGTCGGGTGTCTGGCCCCAGGGCTCTCTGCAGGGAGATCCGGTCACTGGCAAAGGCATTGAAGCAGTGCTTCTTATAGCCCTCTTCCTTTTCCTGGGTCTCCAGGGCCGTCCACTGGTCCTTCTGAAATGCTTTCCCATCTGCCCCAGGGCTGCTGGGGTTCTGTGGTGGCCGTTCCCAGAAGGGCTTCAGCTCAGATGGGGCATAGAATCCGGGGAGACAGGACTTCTTTGTGGAAACAAGTGTCTCCTGGGGCTCCGGAGCCCTGATCTGGAGCTTGGGTAACGAATCTTTAAGGTTGTTCACAGCTCCCAGCATGAGATCCAAAACATGATCCTTCTGGCTCACTAAAGACTTCAGCCATGGTTTCTCTGTGGCTTGTTCCCTGCTGCTTACATCCCTCTGCAGGATGAAGAGACAGAGCACAAAGGCACTGCCCACTATGGCCAGGCGCAGGGGCATGTGGCGTCTGCGGAGGAACCTCATCCTCGGTAACCAGTGGGGACCTTGGCTAGGTCAGCCTGAGTGCTGGGCCTGAGCTTGGAAATAGCTCAATATGTCGTGGCGGCCACACTTTGGGGCCTCAGCCTGAGAAGGGAGGAGACAAGGGAGAGAAATGAGCCAAGGTAGGGATGAGGAGGGAGTCAGGGGGTTTGGGGTTAGTCCAGGCTCTGTTGCTGAATGGCGACATTGCCTTAGCCCAGTCCCTTAACTTCCCTGTGTCTAAAATTTCCTCCATCCATAAAATGAGGAGACTGGACTCAGTTTTTCTTTCCTGCCCTAAGATTCTGGCATTAATGTATCTAGAGTATCTGGAATACTGAAACTCTAAATGAAGAGGTAAAATCAACATAACCACTCTGGAAAAAACCAGTTTGGCTTTATCAAGTAAAATTTGATAAAATGCACACACCCTATGGTGCCCCAATTCCCCTCCTCATTTTATATTCCAGATAAACCCCGGTGTACATGAGCCAGGAGGCATGTACCAGATGTTTCTGGTAGTGCTGACTAAAATGGCAAAAATAGCAGCAATCTAAATGTCATTCAGCAGTAGAATGGAGCGTGAAATATAGTCATACCATGGAATACTCTACAGCAGTGACTAAGAATGAACCACTTCTACATGCAACAACACAGATGTGATGTCGAGTGAAAAAAGTAAGTTGCCAAAGGATACATACAGTATGATTCCATTTATAGAAAACTGTAAAACGTAAAACTAAACAATATATTGTTTATGAAAACAAAAATGAATACAAAATATTATTCGTGAATACAGAAATGAACATGTGGTTAATCTATAAAGAAAATGATGGGGGAAGGGGATGTAGACGGGGGAAAAATTTAAGTCATTTCTTCCATTAAAAAGAAAGAAAGAAAGGAAGAAAATAAACGAAAGGAATAGAGGCACAGGGGACTTTAAAGTAAAGTGTTTTTCTTAAAGTGGGTGGTGGCCTCTGCTGGTACTGTTATTCCTTATACTCTAAATTTATTTTATAAATATTCTTCTGTATATACTCATATTTAATTTAAAAATGTCTAAGATTCTATGGCAACACCTTCTAGGCAGGACCGAGCTTGGGTGTTCATTGGCTTTATACCCTTAAGCACGTGGTCCCATGGCTCAGAAGGTGACTTTCTGTGGAGAGCTCTGGAAGCGTAAGAGTCCCTTGTTACGCACAATATGTTGGTGGCAATAGACCTGGGCACAATTCCCAGCTCTGCCCTTTCTAGTAATAATAGCACCTACCTCTTGTTCTAGGGATTAATAAATTCAATGAGATAATTCATGGAAAATGCTTATAGTCTCTGCATGCAGTAAGTTCCGAAAAAGTGTTAATTTTTATCATTAGTGGCCATGTGACCCTTGAACAAATTACTTAATCTCTCTAAGCTTCAATTTCCTCATCTACAAAGTGGGGGTAACCGATACCTAACTTACAGGGTTGGGTAAAGATTAAATTAGAGATAATGTATGTAAAATCCTCAGCAGAGTGCCTGTACATACTAAGCCCTCAATAAATGGTATCAATTATTTCTATTATTATAATTAATAAACCTCTGCTCAGCTTTCCAGCAATTATCCTCAAGCACCTGCTCCCTGGCCAATTGCCCTGTGGCACGTCTTGCTTAAAAGCAACTTCAGTTGAGCTATTTAATGCTGTTACTTAAACACGCGAGCTCCTGCCTGTGGAGAGCCTGGTATCTGGAGTCACTTAGATTTGGGGAATATGTGGCCTTCATGATCTCAAGGGGAAGCAGGAGTCACTCTGAGCTCGGGGAGATGAGTTTTCTTTTATTACATCACACTCAGCAGCAGCATCAAAAATCAAATAAAACTAAGTCTCTTTGAGCATCTATTTTGTATTAGATCTTGTCTAGCAGATAGGAGAGGAGATTTGTTCATTCTGCTAGTATTAATTGAGTAACTGCTATATGCCAGGTACTCAGACAGATGGGGGAGATACAGAGATGAGCAAGACCAGCCTTCAAGGAGCATAATCAACTGGGGGAGTCAGATTTTAAATGGAGATCACCAAGTGAGAGGATAGGGTGAGAGAGGCACCCTTGGGTACTGATAGAAAGAGGATGCAGGAAACTCAGCAAGCGGAGGGTGTCATTTGTGAAGAAGTCCTATAGAGGGTGCACCTTGGGCTAAGCACTAACCCACAAATAGGAATTGGCCAGGGAAGGTGAACACATACGAAGGCCTAGAGGCAGGAGACAGCACAGCCAATCAGAGAATAGCAAGTAGATTAGGATCATGGGAGTATGAAGTCTGATGGGTGTAGCAGAGGATGGGCCTGGAGAGGGAGCTGCAACCAAGTCATCGTACCAAGGAGCTGTTGATCTGAGGTATAGGGAGCAATAAATGATTACTGGGGAGCCCAGCATTACGGGAAGTACAATATGATAGCTGGCAGAGGATATCTAGGAGACAGACCTGACTGGCAGTTGGATGGCCAATTAAGAGGGGCCTGAGGGTCTGACCCAAGATAGCAGCAGTGCTGATGGAGGAGGGAGAATGGGGTGCTAAAAAAACTCCCTTAGGTGATGAGGTGGGGCAGTTCACTCCAGCTGGGATGCAGAGATATAAGACAATTCCTTTCCCCATAGGATTTTAAAATCTAGTTGGAGAAGAACTGGTAGCACATGTCTAAGGAGGGGACAGGAGCAGGAAAAGACCTTTCACTGAATACCCTTTTTTACTTTGAACCTGACTATATTACCTATTCCAAAATTAATAAAATTAAAACTTGATAGCACAGACTGTAAGTGCCAAGTTGCGAAAGATGTAGTTCTCCGTGGGCTTGAAGAAGGCTTCAAGGAGGAAATGGGGTTTAGTGTAGAGGCTGTTTCCTGCACCAGGGGCTGAGCTATGCTAGGCCAGCACAAGGAGTTCTGCTTAGACAGGACATCTCATAAATCCTGGAACTGCCCCTGGTTAAGCTCAAACAGAGCCCTGTTTGCCATGACAGTGTTGAACTGTCTTGCAGGCGGTATCTTCCCTGACATTTTCTGTCTACCTTCTCACTCCAGCAAGAAAGAGGGAGCGCAGTTAGAAATGAAGGCATGGTAATAACTTAGTTACTAGCTGCTGCCAAGCGCTCAAGACTCACCTCCTCCAGGAAGGCCTCCTTGATCAACTCACTCAGAATCACCAGGTCACTTCAACTCCTTTGTCCTTGCATTGCGTTGTGGTTCCTCGAAGTGGGGTTTACCTTTATTCCTTTCATTTCCCCTGGAGAAAGAGATCTGGGGTTAAAATGAGCCCTTCCCCAGCATCTGCTCTCTTAATCCAACATGGCAGCCTAAGGCTTTGTCTCTGAAGCCTCAATTCCTCAAGGTATTAACCACATCCTGAAATGAAAGGAGACACCTGTGATTAGCCTTGGCCGTAAGGGACTCAGTCTCTAGTTTGTTTGCTCAGCATACAAGCGATAAGAAAGAGTCACCTAGAAGAGACACATAATCTGATGGAAGAAAGAAGACTGGGATTAAGGATTCCTGCTCTCTGTGTAGGAGATGATTCCCCGAAGTGTGGCTAGCAAGGTCAAGGAGATCACTCTTCCACCTGCCTTGGTGAAAGAATAGTCCCTCTTGCATGTAGTACTTTGTTAAGTGCAGGGCTTCACAGGATTCTCCCCACAGCATCTTGTATAGTTCCCTCACCTTTAGGTTCCCACAGTATGGCCTTCAGGTACACTGGCAAGTGTGCCCACAGCCCTCATCCACTCATCCTCCCCCTGCTGCTGCTGAGCGTTCATGCTCAACTCTTTTTCCTCCAGCCACCCTTGGGATTGCAACACATCAGACCATCCTAGTTTCAGGACTGAGATGATGTCAGAACACAACTTCTCCTTACCTTCTCTCACTGGTCTAAGGGAACTGAGGCTTCTCCCAGCTCCGTGTCTAACAAACTGCTGATTGCAACCTACTATAAGATTGTGAAATAAATTTAAAGTGCTATGAATCAGCATGAAAAAAAAATCTTTATCCAGGCAGAAAAAGTTGAAAACCACATGATATCACTTACACGTGGGATATAAACCTAAAAGCAACAAACGAACAGGACAAACAAGCAGAGACTCATAGACATCGACAATAGACTAGTGGTTACCAGAGGGGAGGGTGGGGAGGGGGTAAAGGGGAGGTAGATGGGGTAAAAAGGGTCAGATATGTGGTGACAGAAAGAAATCTAACTATGGGCTGTGAACAGACAATACAATGTATATGATATGCTTTACTGTTGAATTGTACACCTGAAACTTACTGGGTTTCTTTAACTAATATCGCCATAATAAAAAATTCTTAAAAATTCTTTAAAATATCAGAATAGAATATAACAAAAATGAAAATACCAAAGTATGTCACATATAATATAGGTATTGTTTTGTTAAAATTTTATTTCAGTTATTGTACATACATAGTGTACCAAAAGTCTTAGTGCAATTTTAAGCTTTAATAACTTCCTAAGTATAAATGCTACAGACTTACAGAGAACATCCTTTCAAAGGTTTATTTAAATTTCTTTTACCTTATTGAGCTTAATGAATTTTGAATAATAAAATTTTATTTTAAATGTTTATCTCAGTCCATTAGAGGTAAAAAACACTTCCTGATAAAAACTGAAAATGAAAAATGTTATTCAAAATTTGTAAAGTTATAAGAAATTTAAAGTATCTCATTTTCAAATGATTTTTTTGGTTAGTTTGTAGAATTCATGCCTCTGATGTAATTAAAGTGTAAAACTGCCCTAAGACTTTTGGAATGCCCTGTCGCATGTTAAATGGGTATGAAATTTTGTTGTAAAATTGTCTTTCTTACTTTGGTCCAGTCATAGAAAGCTGAAAGCCAATGACATGGTCCAATCCCTCCATTTTACATTCTAGCCTTCCCCAAGAAGCTTTCTTAGATCTCTGGCAGAATTCATCTCTGTTCTGTCTTGCCCCTCTGTCTAGCAGACAGTTTATACTTCGATCCTGGCCCCATCACAGCCTTCCCTGTGTGGGAGAAGTCTGTTCTCTCTCACAGCGGTGAATTCCTGGACCAGGGAGGCCAGGTTATTTTCACCTTTTTACGGCTTGCGAAGTAGGAAGTATTCCATAAGCTTGTTAAATGAGATGAGGCCAGAGGTGTTAAAGGACAAAGGTAAGCACTGGCTTCACTAAGTGATGTTTTGAATGCACTTAACTCCAACGTCATTTGAGTTACATGATATTCTGTTGTTACACATTACCATGCCACTTTGACTAGGTCTGTCTGTGAGTCCAGAACCCTCATTTTATAGGTGAGGCCAGAATGGTTAGGTTACTTCCTTGCTGTCACACAGCTTATGGCTTCAGGGAAAGATGCCAGTCTCCTAATTCCCAGGCCACTACTCTGTTCCCCCACCATTACCTACCCCTAGGAAGTGTGGGGACAGAGCTGTTATCCTGGGGCAGGGCTGTTATCCTGTGTGTCCACTCTATTCTTAGGACCCCCTCCCCACTACTCAAGTCCCATTCAGGACTACGAATGCTTTGAAGATGCCGAAACTGGAAGTTCCCACAAAGTTTCACCTTTTGTGATAGCCTTGGTCAGCCACCTAGAACACACCCTTGCTGGCCAGGTGGCCTCTTTGTAACAAAGTTACTTTCTGTTTATCAACTGGGCTGCTCACCTCCGGGAGACGTGGCAGCCAGGAAGTAAGACACAGCTACAGGGATATTTGCTCAAGTTAGTCAGACTAAGGCTCAATTACAAGTTTCTTCGAAAAGAGATAACTGTCACTGCTCTCACCCAGGGTGCAGGTGTGTGGAGCTGAACATCATGATGGGGAGGGGACAGGTCAATTTTAAGCTCCTGGTGTGGTGAGGGGACCAAGAGGCTGTTTTGGCTAAATGATTCTCTCTTCCTCCCAATCAAACACAGCTCTCATTTATTTTACTTCCTCTGTTCTCATTCTGTGAACAAAGTAGCAAATGATCCCCTTCACAACCCTCCTCTCAACCTGACCCTTCTGATTACAGAATGCTGGGAGGTTTTCACTTTTCCTCATAATTACACCTTTAAGACACTTCAGCTTTCCCCCAAGACTAAAGCTGCAGTACTGTGGCTTATTTTCCCAGAAAGATGCACTGAAAGTTATTTCTGTAGCTAGTCTATCAAGTTCTTTCCCCAGCATATCTAGGTTCGTTTGCATAATATTTTAAGCTTAAGTTACCCAAATTTTCAATTAAAAAAAAAAACAACCCAACTTTGCTCTCACCCTATATATCTAGAACAGTGCTTGGCATAGAGCAGTAAATACTTGTTGATTTATTCCAAATTTGTAAAAGTCTCTGAAAATCAAAATAATATGTACCCAAATAAGAAGTTCAACAGCTCACAGGTTTTTCACTGGAGTTATTTCTAGGTCCTGTCAGATGGGTAGGGATGTGTAACTGTTCTCAAATCCAGCCTTGAAATTGCTGGCTCCTGGGAATCCAGGGATGAAGGAGGAACCCAGGCGGGCTTCCCTAAAGGAGGGATTCCCTAAACCCTAGTGAAAATCCGACTGGGTTGAGAGAAGGCCAAAAAAAAAAAAAAAAAAAACCCAACCTGAATGGAGTCTTATCATCTGTCTGTTGGGGGAGGCTGGAAAGAACAAGAGGGGTGTTAAGAGGAGGGTTATTCCTGAAGGCTCGGGCTGGCCTCCAGATTGGGGTGGGGGAGATGGGAGAGGGCAGAACTGAAGTTTTTCCTTCTCTCTTCACCCCACAGTCTGCTCCTGGCTATAGGCCTTCTACTCAGAGCCGCCAGATACTCAACATATCACACCCCGAACTTAGGGTCTGTGCCATCCTCTAAGCCAGTCAGCCTTCCCAATTTCCCTATTGCTGCCAACAGCATTAACATCCTAGAAACAACCCCTGCCCCACTGCTGGGTGTATAGTTTTGAATCCCTTTTCAATGTCAGGTTCACTTCACTGTACACCCAAGTCCTGCTGACTCATTCTCTGCCTCCTGGATCTTCCTCTTTCTCTCTGCTCAAAACTGTCATCTGAGACTGTGCCCTTATCGCCCAACATCTGGAGGATACGCAGAAACTGCCTGCCAGCCTCCTTAGCCTCAGGCCTCTCTCTCCCCCTTTCATAATCATAACAGCCATATTCACAGCACCAGCACCATTTGATGGTCAGGGTAGTCTGCTTCCTGTTTGCTGCTCACCCTCACAGGCTATCTTCTCCGCAAAGCCTTTCACTTATATTTTTGCTAAGCAAGCCATGTTTCTTTTCTCTTTAAAATTTCTACTTCAAACTCCTCAGCCGCGGTATCCAAGTGTATTTGTTTCCAAGTTTCACTACCCATGTTTCCCCATGTGACTTCCCCACCAGATTTTCTGGGGGAGGGAAAACTAACAGGCCTAGTCACTAGGCCACCTAGATCCTGTTTTCTTTCTTCTTTCCAATCCTTAAATCCTGGTCCCCAATCTTCTGCCTCTGGAATGCTTTTTCCTACCAATCCACCTAACCTTCCAATCCCTGTAATATCCCTCAGCCCTGAGGTATTTGGTTATGCTATTCCACTGCCCTCATCTGTCTGTCCTTTGTTCTCTGTTATATGTAGAGCTGAGGGTGAGGATTGGGTTTCTTCTTTACTTCAAATCTCTATCTAGGACCAGGTTGCAGAGGGTACAGGAGAATAAACTGACCCCATAGGTTCTCAGGTGCCACAAAAGTCTTCTAACATTTCTTTGTCTCTCCAGACTGAACCCATCCTTGTTCACTACGTAAGTCTTTTACACAACACAATTACAGCATTGAGCTCAACTCAGAGACAGTCACTGCCCTGCACTTGACCTCTCCTTTATTCAAATCCTTACTCTCATTTCCATCAAATGAGAATGGACCTTTTAGGCTTTCCCAGAGAGGGGCAGAGGGCTGTATGAAGAGCTGAGTTCACCCATCTTTGGCATAGCCTCTCACTGGGTCCCTCTGGTCCTCTTCACTCTGGTCCTCAGCTTTACTTCCAGGGCTGGAGATGTCAGAACAGGCCCATGGGAGACAGAGGAGGTTTGGACAATAGCACCATTTTAAAAATCACAACTTACCATATCAAGTCAAGCAACAGTAATCTCCATTTTACACAGATGGAAACTGAAGCACAGGGAGGATAGGTAACTTGGCCAAGGTCACATAGCTAGGAAGTAGCAGAAGCAGGATTTGCACGCAGACCCAGGTCTCTCCAAAGCCTACTCGTTGCCTTAACCATGCCACACACTGCC